GTGGGTGGCTGTACTGGGTGGTGGGGGGGATCAGGGGGATCACCAGCTCCTTCTTGGGGGGCGGGGCCGGCCGCGTGCTGGGGGAGGGACCAGAGCGTTAGCCACGCCCACAAACACAACGCTGCTATTAAACAAAGGGGTGGCGCCGGCCAGAAGCCACGCCCCCCGCAGCAGGGGGGATCAGGGGGATCACCAGCTCCTTCTTGGGGGGCGGGGCCGGCCGCGTGCTGGGGGAGGGACCAGAGCGTTAGCCACGCCCACAAACACAACGCTGCTATTAAACAAAGGGGTGGCGCCGGCCAGAAGCCACGCCCCCCGCAGCAGCCGCACGCAGTGAGCCCGCGCCCAGGCCACGCCCCCGGCCATATTAGGAACACAACCTCAAGCCCCGCCCCCAAAGCCACGCCCCTCTGGTCCTCTCAAGCCCCGCCCCCACGGCACCTCGGCTGTCGCACCTGCCCCAAGCCCCGCCCACCGCAGCACTCAGGGACAAACCGCAGCGGAGCCCCGCCCCCAAACTCGCCTCGGGGGCGTGGCCCAGCATTAAGCCCCGCCCCTCCCGCCCACCTGAGCAGCTCGCGGTCCTCCACCGCCGTCAGGAAGTCGGTGTCGCTCTCGGTGTCAGCGCCGGGCTCCGCGCACGGTCCCGCGGGCAGGGGCCGCCGCCGCTCGGCCCTGCGGCTGAAGACTGGGAGGCACTGGGGAGGCACTGGGAGCACTGGGAGCACTGGGAGCACTGGGTAGTTATACTGGTCATACTGGGAGCAGTGGGTGGCTGTACTGGGTGGTTGTACTGGCTATACTGGTCATACTGGGGGCGCTGGGTGGCAGTACTGGGTGGCTATACTGGTCATACTGGGAGCACTGGGTGGTTGTACTGGCTATACTGGTCATACTGGGAGCCCCTCTCCCCAGAGCAGGAGCTGAGCACTCCCAGCAGCAGCAGGGGGCCGGGCCATGAACTGGGCTGGGCACAGGTACAGACTGGGAGCACTGGGAGGGAACTGGGAGGGCACTGGGGGCACTGGGAGGGAACTGGGAGGGAACTGGGGGCACTGGGAGGGGATGGGGAGGGCAGGTATGCAGCTGCCTCATGGCCCTGGGGATTTACTGGAGTGTACTGGTGTGTAACTGGTGTGTACTGGTGTGTAACTGGTGTATACTGGTAATGCAGGTGTGTAAACGGTGTGTAACTGGTGTGTAACTGGTATAACTGGTGTGTAACTGGTGTGTACTGGTGTGTAACTGGTGTATACTGGTAATGCAGGTGTGTAAACGGTGTGTAACTGGTATAACTGGTGTGTAACTGGTGTGTACTGGTGTGTAACTGGTGTATACTGGTAATGCAGGTGTGTAAACGGTGTGTAACTGGTATAACTGGTGTGTAACTGGTGTTACTGGTATGTAACTGGTCTGTAACTGGTGTTACTGGTATGTAACTGGTGTGTAACTGGTGTTACTGGTATGTAACTGGTGTGCAACTGGTGTTTAACTGGTATAACTGGTGTGTAACTGGTGTTACTGGTATGTAACTGGTGTGTAACTGGTGTTTAATTGGTATAACTGGTGTGTAACTGGTGTTTAACTGGGAAAACTGGTGTGTAATTTGTGTTAGTGGTGTGTAACTGGGATAACTGGTGTGCAACTGGTGTAACTGGTCTGTAACTGCCGATACTGGTGTTACTGGTGTGTTACTGGCGTGGAACTGGTTTATACTGGTCTCAGGACCACCCCCCCGGCAGGCCCAGGCGAGTTACTGTGTGTTACTGGTTTACACTGGGGTGTTACTGGTTTATACCGGTGTGTTACTGGTTTATACCAGTGTGCTACTGGTTTATACTGGTGTGCTACTGGTTTATACCGGTGTGTTACTGGTTTATACTGGTGTATTACTGGTTCATACCGGCGTATACTGGTTTATGCCGGTGTGTTACTGGTTTATACCAGTGTGTTACTGGTTCATACCAGTGTATACTGGTTTATACTGGTTTGTACTGGTCCATACTGGTGTGCAATCCCAGGACTCCCCCCCGTTCGCGGTGGAGCTGCCGCGGGGCCCGGGCGGGTTCGGCTTCAGCCTCCGGGGGGGCCCCGCCGGGGTTTTCGTGCGGGGGCTGCGCGAGGGGGGCCCGGCCCAGCGCTGCGGCTGCATCCAGGTACGGGGCGGGGGCCGGGGGGGCT